GACCTTATAATAGTATACTTCCAATTTCCCCTCTCCCTGGGCTTAATGCTATCGTTGTAATACATTTTGCTTATACATATGTTATAAATTCCACAATATGTTGTTATTGATTTTTTCTTATTTTGTTTTTTGCATGCCTGGTCACATCTGATCAGATGCCAGACATATTATCTTGCTGGGTTCTGTATATTTTCTTTATTTCTGTCCTTGACCTTCGTTCTGGGAAGCAGTGGAGATACTTGGGAACAGTCTGGTCCTTTCAGATCTTGCTTCTATGATCTTTCGGACAGGCCCGGAGCAGGGCTCCGCTGGGGCTACTTACTCCATGCTAGTGAGGCAAGACCTTCCTAAGTCACACTAACCTTGAGGATTTGAAAGCCATGGTACCTACCAGAACATTCCCATAATCACAAGAAGCTGGTCAGCACTGGCCAAGGGGCCTCCTACCTCCTCTTTCCCTTGTGGATTCACAGCCAAAGCGCCCACGGAAGGCTCACCGTTTGCAGAAGAGACAGGTAGGTGGCCACGAGAACAGCGGGAACCTGGCCCAGCAGCAGCAGCAAATCTGTACAGAAAGGCCTGGTTAGAGCCCAGCTGCATCCAGAGCTCACTGGTCCGGCCCTGTCCCAGCCCCCTCAGGCCTCCTGACCAGCCCAGGGCCCCGGCCACCTCACCTTCCCTTTCCTCAGACTGCTGAAGAGCTCCTTGTTCTGGAGGAACTTCTCCATCTCGGCCTTGACCAGCACACGACGCACGTCCATCACCTCCTCCACGGTCAGGGCCAGGCTCTCCACGGGGTGGCTGAACTCCTGGGGGCAGGGTCAAGGGTGCCCACTGGACCTCAGGGTCAGGCCGTCCGAGCGGGATTCTCTCCAAAGTGCTTCTCCTTCCCTGGGGACCCCCTGTCTTCCTGGCCTCGGTCTGGACAAGCCTGGCCGCTCCCTAAGACACGTATGCTCCAGCCACCCAGGTATGCTCCAGCCACCCGGTCCTGGGGGCCGGGCGGGAGCCCAGCTCTCCTTTGGCCAGGCCCTGTCGCAGAGGCGAGGCCCCCACGACCTGCCAGCCCATCCAGCCGGCCCCCAGCCCTGGCGACCACACTCCTCCTGCTCCCCATGCTTGTCCAAGGTGCCCCCGCCTGCAGACACGCACCGTCGCTGATCCAAACCAGCCGGAGCCCTCCCCCCAGGAGGCCCTGTGACCCCCGACACGCGGCCCTGCATCTGTCGTCTGCACTCAGCACGTCTCTGTCCTGACCACCTGCTCCTGGGGCCATTTTATGTCAACCGGGTCCTGTTTTTGCCTCCTAGAGCTCAGCCTAGAACTAGACGTCTGACCTCTCCAAGCCTCAGTTTTCTCCTGTGAAATGGTTTCAGCTCCACTGAGAAAATGCATGTGAAGTCCTTGACACAGTGCCTGGCACACAGGGCTGCAAATGTCGGCTATTAGAACTGAGCAGGTGGGAGCAGGTGGGAGGTGTCTCTTGCTTCGGATTTGCAGTGGTGATCCCGTAGAACACACGCTACTTTCTGGAACTAGGGGAGAAGCTGGGACCCCCGCATTCTCCACTCTGACCTGAGGCATCAGGGCTTCTGGCTTCGGGTTTCTGTTGTCAGCTGCCTGATAGTGCCGTATGTATTTGAACAGTCCCCTCCACACTTCGCAGACGTTACGCTAACGCTGTGGGCAGGCGATCTGGTGCTGGGGTGAGACAGACCAGCAGCCGCTCCTCAGACAAGGCTGTGGGGTGTGCTCGGGGGTCCCTGGGGTCTCTGATGTGCCACAGCTGGAGCTTTCAGAAAGCACTTCTGAGATCTCAGAGCTGAAAAGCCACTTACGTGACTTGTGGTCATTTTAAACCACGTCCCCGGATTCCTTGACCAAGAAGTGGGCCTGGATTCCCCTCCTCCCCTACAGAGTGGGCTGGACTTTGTGACTCCATGAACAGTGACAACGTGTCACTTCTGAGACTCGGTTATGAGACACTCCGTCTCGCGAACCACGTGCGTGGCACGGGGTGGGGTGGGGTGTGCCGGGGCCGTAAGGACTCGATAAGCCGATGAAGAGGGCACACAGCCACAGACTCAGCCTCCCGCCCCCACCTCCCCACAGCAGACTCGCCGGCCCCAGTCGCGCCATCGGCTGAGAATGCAGCCCCTGCTGCCGTCCTCACGGCAGCCTCACGAGAATCCCGAGCTCAGCCGCCTCTGGATCCGTACCCCAGAAACTTACGCAGCAAAGATAACGAATCCAGAACCGACAGGGGCATTACCTTTCGTCTGGGGAATGTTAACGCTGCCTTACTTTTATGTGACACTTACACTGTTGAAAGCATTTTAACATCTGTTCTCCTCCTGAGCCTCTTGGCGAAGCCTCACAGGGGGCAGCGGCCACACTGTCGACACCCCACACCGGAGGCTGCGCTGTGGCCGTATGCGCCTGTTATCTCATTTCACAGAGTCGTACGCCGAAACTCGGGTCCACGTGGGGACCTCACCTGTCAGCAAGTGCCAGCTCGCCACAATCACGAGTCAGACAGAAGTCACAGCTGGCGGAGCCGGGGTCCCCAGCGCTCAAGCCACACGGGCAGAGTCACACCAGAGCCGAGGTCTCGACCCACTGAAGCCCTCCTTTAGGCACAGGGTGCGCAGGTTTTCCACCTGCCTTAACCCCACGGGGACCACACGCGGAACTCAGGTGCCACACACCCCCTGCAAGGCGGTTCCCTGGCTTCGGGGCCACTGTGCCAACGTGCCCAGCAGGCAGCAGCAAAGAGCCACCTCCCAGACAGGGGCGCAGCCTCCTGCCCCCAGACCAAGGTCAGATCCAGCCACACCCACAGGACGGAGCCCCCACCACTTCTGGACACCCAGCTGCTGTCTCGTCTGGTGGCAGGGAGAGGGGACGCTCAAGAGGCCCCCAAGCCACCCCACCAACAGCGCACCCCTCACCAGCCACAGGTGTTTGGCTTCTGGGGCCACGGAAGTCTCTGGTCTGTCCTCTGTGGAGCCCAGGTTGCTGGGCAGGGAGCAGCTGGGGTCCGGCCGGGACTGGACACTCCCAGGACAGGAACCTGGAGGCAGAGCAGAGGCCCCGTCAGGACGACCCGGCAGGGGTTCTGGTGGGGGAGGCTGTGCCGAGGGAATGATGGAGACGGTGGGGGGGTTTCCTGGGGGCAGCAGGGGGCAGCCCGGCGAAGGGTCAGGTGGAAAGCATGTTGCCACGTTGGGACCTTCACCAGGGGTGCTGCATCTGAGCCCCACAAATGCACGGACGTCAGGGGTCCCATGGTCCTGGCAGCACCGGCCATGCAAACTGCAGATGCAGCAGGCAAGACCTCGCTAGGCACCAGGCACCTCCCACTGGAGACCCGGGGCAGGGCGGAGCTCCCTCCTGAGTCCCGGGGACAGCTGGGCAGGGGAAGACCTGGGGCAAGAGCGAGGTCTGGAGTGAGCCTGACCTGGCCCTCTTAGCACTGCGAAGTGAGTGGTGAGTACCAGGCGGGATCAGAAAGCTGCTGCAGGTGACCTGGGGTCACATCAGGTTCCCAGTGGTGAGTGTGGCACAAGCCCACCCGGCTTGCTGTGGACACACGTTTCCATTCACAGAGAAAGGGCTAGAAAGCCCGATTTCTGTCTACCTGTCGTCAATCTACCATCTAGTTAGCTGTCCTCTTTCTATATCCCAGTATGTTAATAATTATCTCTAGGTATTAGAATCATGGAAATTTTTTAAAAGTCTTCCAACAAATGTTTTATAATGAATATGGGTTACTTATTTAATGAGAAAGATTTTACCGGGCACAGTGGCTCACACCTGTAATTCCAGCAACTCGGGAAGCTGAGGCAGAAGAACTGCTTGAGGCCAGGAGTTCAAGACCAGCCTGGACAACACAGTGAGACCCCATCTCTACAAAACATTTTTAAAAAAAATTAGCCAGGCACGGTGGCTCACACTTATAGTCCCAGTAACTCGGGAGGCTGAGGCAGGAGGATCACTTGAGCCCAGGAGTTCGAGGCTGCAGTGAGCTGTGATGACGCCACAGCACTCCAGCCTGGGTGACAGAGTGAGACCCTGTCTCTAAAAATATAAAGTTTTCAGTAAAAAGGGGGACACCTGCCCAAGGTGATGGGCAAAGACCATCAATACCCTTTCACAGGTGCCAGTTCCCCAAGCCCCTGGGGGCTGCCCGCTCAGGAGGACACAACTGAGCTGACCTGAGGGAGGAGGAGGGTGGGAGTGAGAGGAAGCACCTGCCTTGGTCTTGGGTGCCAGGCCTCCACGCGTGCACACTGCCCGCTCGGGGCCGCGGGGGCTCCGTCCCTCCTGGGGGCTGGGAGGCCGGCTGCAGGCCAGAGGCCACCTCACTGCGAAGCTGGGCCAGGTCGTGCTCCGAGAAAGAGCGATCCCGCTTCAGCGTCACCTCCCCACACGGGGACTCTTCTTCCTGTGGACACACCAGACCAGCCCTGCCCTGCCCGTCGATGACGGAGACACAGGCCCCGGGGGCGCTGGGGGGCCCGTGGGGGCCGTGAGGCCTCCGTCCACTCCCTGCCCGGCCTGCCGTCTTCTGGGCCGTTCATGGCAAGTGGCTGAACAGCCAGACTCTCCCCCAAGGCTTTCCAGAAAGTGCTGGGCAGATCTAGTGTCGGATGGAGGCTGAGCCCACTGAGATGGCCACCAGCAGGGCCACCGCCCTGTCTCCCTGGGAAGAGGCGAGAGCCACGCAGGGGAGGGAGGGCGGACAGGGAGTCTCGCTGGGAAGGGGCTGCTCGGTTTCCCGGCCCTGAGACGATGGCTCACTTCCACTCCCACGGGCACCTGCGCTGCCGGGGTGGGGAAGGCTCCCTGAGCCCCGCCATCCACCCCTGGGGCAGGCACAGCTGGCGGTGCCACATCAGGACACTAGCTGCAGCCTCCACAGGCCTCAGCCTGCAGCCCTGGGCAGGGGGTGCCCCGCTCAGCTGACTCTGCTGCTGTCCCCCTCTCACCTCCTCGCCCTTCCTCCTCCCTGGGCTCTGTCCAGGAAGCTCAGTGGGCTCTAACCTCAGACGTGTTCATCTCCTCCATCTCGGCCAAGGTGGGCGCCTTCAGCAGCACCCGGGGCCGCGGGCGCTGGACGCCGCTCCCAGCGTCTGAGACAGACAGGTTGATGCAGGAGGTGGACTTGGCCTCTCCGGAGCAGGCATCCAGGATGCAGGGCAGGGAGCCAAACCCTGGGGGCACAGGCCAGCGAGCGTGGGGCAGTGAGGACGCCGGGCAGGAGCTCACGGCCTCAGGGGCACCTACGGCTTAATTCCCCCACTGCACAGAAGGGGAAACTGAGGCCCCTAACCCACCAGGAACTCCAGCCTAGAGAGCCGCCTCGTCTCGCAGTGGCAGAGCAGAAGTAGGGGTGGAGTTCGCCGTCTCAAATGAACAGTATTTTTTGGAACGGAAGACTCCAGAGGGCATTTTAAAGGAGGGTTAGGTCTCAGACATTTGAACAAATGCCTGTTTTTCCCCCACCTAAAAAAACTTTGCTTTTATTTTATTTCCCTCCTGACTGTGAAATCTGTCAAACTACTGTAACGTGTGGCAGGTGCGGTCAAAGCCCGGAAGATGGGGCAGAGATCCCTTTGTCTTTATGCACCTCTTGTTAAGACTGTGCAAGGCTGGCAGAATCCCCCAAGCCTACATGCCAAAGATTAAAATGTCCTGCATCTTCCAACATGCAGGAAGTCGCAGGGACAACACTAGTTCCTGATCTGCAGCCTGACCAGGGGAAGTGGGGGAACCCAGGCCAGGGCCGCTGGGGGTCTCTCTTCTCCCCCCACCCCCGGGCTCACCACGAGCGGCCCAGCCCTTGCCGCCCACCGGGCGCAGCCTCCGCTCTTGCTTGATTTCTTCCAAGATCTTCTCGTGTAGAGTCCGCTGCTTCTGCGGCAATGGGCGGAGCCGTCTCTCTGAGACCTGCGGTTACACGGGCCCACTATAGAGCAGGGGGGACCAACCAGGCCCACCTGGAGGGAGTGCCGCCCCCCCTGGGGCTCTCTGTGCACCTCTCCCTGGAGGAGCAGGCACAGGGCCACACAGCCCACGCCAGGGCCGGGGCCAACCTCCCGGCCACGGGCAAGAGGGGGCCAAGCCGGCCTCACCCAGAGCCTCCTGGGTCGGCCACGGGACAGCCGAGGTCCCGGGCTGCCCAGGGAGGAGACACAGGTACCTGCTTCAGCGGCGGCCGAGAGCGGATGAAGTCCAGGATGAGCTCGTGTGCGTCCTTCTTCACCCTGGGCGGGATGTCCCCGTCCACCTGCCAGGGAGGACGGAGCCCGCAGGGCTGTCTGCTGGTGCCAGGGTGACCCGGAGGGGCTCCCCCAGCCTGGCCACAGCCGGGTCCTCACACTCACCTGCCCCCCCACAGCCTCTGTCCCGGGACCCAGCTGCCTCCCCGCACACGGCAGATCCTCAGGCCGGGCTCCGGGTGGCTGCAGCACCCACAGCCCGACACCTCCCAACCCAGCTCTGAGCTCCTGCTGTATAGGTTCGTCTGGACCCGGGCTTGGTGGCGCACACCTGCCAGGGTTATCGTAAGAACGACGCCAGCACGTGGAAAGGCTACATGAGTATTTGTTAAATAAAAAATCCTGCTGCCTCGGCTCTTGTGGCCCCTTCTCTGGGAGCCATCCCTGGTCCTCCAGAACCTTCTACATCCCCTTTTCCTGCCTTGTTACACTGTCCCCGACATGACCTGGTCCTGGGCCATGTGAACTGTGTCTGCCTTCCTCATCCTCTGCAGCCGGCACCTGGTACAACAACAGGGACCCTGGGCCAGCGCGGGGGAGGGCGGCGGCGGCCCACTCACCATGACCTTGCGCAGCTTGTAGTTCCGGGCCCGGATGTCCTGCATCAGCATCTCGAAGGGCGTGAGCTGGAACTCGGTGGGGAGGGGGTTGAACTCCTGCTCCTGCACCTTCTTGAGCTTCACGCCGTGGCGGAGCTCGCGCATGAGCTGGACCCACAGCCGGGCCTGGCCCCGGGAGGAGGAGAGCCCGCTCAGGCCCGGGCAGGGCTCCAGGGCCCTCCACGCCCTTGGGCTGTCTGCTCCCGCGTCAGGAGCCGGGTCTTACCCAGTCCGTGTGACCCAGGCTGTCGAGCTCGACTTGTGGCTTCTCCGCCTGGGGCTCGTCCTCGCGAAGCTTCTGTAGCATCTGTGACCACACGCTCCAGTTAGTCCAGACACGGGCCTGAGCCCTCGGGCCCTGCCGACCAGGTGACGCCTCCTCGACACGGGGGCTTCCGCTCAACCAGCTAAAAAAGGGACCAGTGAGCATTTTGGCCCAGGCTTCGGGGCTCAGAAAGAGCTCTGGGGAAACCAAGTCATTGGGCGCAGAACCACATAGAGCACTCAGCGTCCTGTCTGCTTTCTCTGACAGCTTCTCTCAGGCAAGGACAGGTTAGAGCCTAACTCCGTGTGGCACCTTCTGTAGCCTGTTCGAGGGACCCCGGTAAGGCACCGTGTCCTCCACACGTGGCAGCGCAGGTGCGGAAGCTCCGCTCTCCCGTCGGATCTGTTACAGGCCTGCGCGGGCAGGCCACGTGCCCACTGGGTGCACCCACGGCTGCCTCCCGACACATGATCCTAGCTGGGGTTCTGCTTTCAGATACTTCTCTGGTCGGTGTCTGGGACCCAGGACAACACGGCCCCTGCTAGGTCCTCCAATGCCGGGTGGATGAGTGAAGGGGGGCGATGGCTGGGTGCTATCCAGCAAGTCCAGAAACAGTCACAGGTGTGCACTGTATCTAAGAGGTGGGTGCCAAGATCAGGCAAAGGCCCACGAAGGATGACAGGAGCTGTTAGGTGACGGTTCTACGCTGAGAATTTGGGAAGCTGTTGGACCACAGCGGCAGCCTTCTGCTCTCACAAACTCCCCCACCCTGGAGAAGCACCTGCCTTTTAGCACACGGTTCCCAGGCTGAGACAGAACCGGTTACCCTGCCTTTTGCTCCGAGCCCCCTGCCAAGCTGCTCTGGAACACTCTAGAAAATGCCAGCAACTCTCTGAGCAACACAA